CAGCTACTTGGGAGGCTGAGGCAGGAGACTCACTTGAGCCCAGGAGTTGGAGGTTGCTGTGAGCTGTGATGCCATGGCACTCTACCCAGAGGGATAGCTTGAGGCTCCATCTAAAAAAAAAAAAAATCTGCTGGTCACATAGGCACAGTGGCTCAGGGCTATAATTCCAATATTTGGGGAGGCTGAGATGGGAGGATCATTTGAGGCCATGAATTTGAGAATAGCCTGGGCAACATGACAAGACCCTCCCTTCTACAAAAAATAATTAGCTGGGTGTAGTGAGCCTGTAATCCCAGCTACTCAGAAGGCTGTGGCAGAACTGCATAAGCTCAGGAGTCTGAGGTTGCTGTGAGCTATGACTACATCACTGCACTCTAACTCAGGCAACAGAGTTGAGACTGTCTCAAATAAACAAACAAAAAGTACTGCTGGTCTTAAAAGCTTTAGAAAGTTTCTAGAAGGACTGATGATGACAAGAAGCAGAGGTAGCCAAGGCTCAGAGACAGTGAGAATGCCAACTATCCCAGACAAATGCCAGCCTGGAATGGTGAAAGCCAAACTTGTTTTGAGAGCAAGATACACTGCCACTGAGGCTTAAAGACTTAACTACAAAGATGGGACAAGCAGAGCCAGAAAGCAGTGGGAACAAATCAACTGTGGCTTTGCTGTCTACCCCTTTCAGAGCAGGAACCAGAACTGCTTTTCCCAAGAGAAATAGGAATAGGTATGTAGTACTGGAGTTCAGACTTGAACTTGTACTTGAAGACAGAATAGAAATTATCCCCCCACAATGGGAGACTGCTATATCAGTCACAATCTCCAAGTAGAAAACTAATGGCGGATGTTATATAGGAAGCCTACCCAAAAGGAAGGCTCATGAGGAGAGTAGAATGTAGTAGAACTTAGGGAATGAAGAATTTGAGTCACTTTTAAGTCATTCTTGATAAAAGTGTACTGAACATTATTTACAGGAAAATGGAAATATCACAAAATGGGATAATAATACAATCTCACAGAAATGCCATGAAAATTGAGATAAGCACATGAAGTGCTTAGAATGGTACTTACAACATAGTTAATAACCAATGAACATCAGCTATTACGATTATAATGATGTTGTTTCTCCTGAACCAGGTCCTACCCCTCCTCTTCCTCTAAACCTTGACTTGCCACCTCTAAATCTTATACATATTTTCTATTATTTGTATATTTACACATTTGGTTACACTATAATCCAGGCTTCTGAAGTGATGAAACATGACTTACCCCAAGTATCCAGAACAGTTTCTGGCATATAGTGAGTATTTGATCAATATTGATGCTTTGAAATAATCTTACTGAGGTAGCCTTTGCAAATTCACATTTGAAGTCAAATATTTACTAAATAACAAGTGGGTACTGGGCTAGCTGTTTTTCTACATAATCTGATTTAATTGACAAGCAATATCCCACTTTACAGATAAAGAAAACCAGCTCAATGGCATAACTATGTAACTCAAATCCCTGACTTTCCTGAATCCTCCTCTTCAAAGCCCATAATGACTAGTAACTCCTTTATTCCTCTATCCCTCAATGTGGCAGCTCTTCTATTTGCCTTCTCTGGGCTCAGTCACAAAGCAACGCAGAAGGAAAAAAAAAAAATCACAAAACCACATAGACTTGTCCACTATAGACTCATACACTCTTAACAACAACTAGACTGTCATTGCCACTCTTCCTGCTCCACAGGTTGGATGCCTTATAATCCTCCTGCACACGCATCCTTGTGCACCTGTTTTCAATCATTACAGCCTATCAAATTCCCCTGTCACTTCACTTACATCTTTGTGTTTCTTTCCATTCAATGGTCCAAACCCCTAGCATGTTAGTTATATCATGGACATGAGTGGTCCTGCTCTGCTCTTTCTTCCCTTTTCCCTCTCTTCCATTCAGAATCCTACAAGATCAATCTTCCTAAAAGAGATTTGGACCATATCATTTTCCCATCCAAAATCCTTTAGGTGTTACCCATGGCTGTATGACAAGCATTGGCACACAAGGTCTGCTGTGCTCTGGTCCAGAGCTATTTTTATTATTTATTTATTTATTCTTATTTTGAGACAGGGTCTTACTATGTCACCCTGGGTAGAGTGCTGTGGATCATAGCTCACAGCAACTTTAAACTCTTGGGCTTAAGCAATTCTCTTGCCTGAGCCTTCCAAGTAGCTGGGACTACAGGTGCCTGCCACAATGCCTGGCTAGTTTTTTTTTTGGAGACAGAGCCTCAAGCTGTCACCCTGGATAGAGTGCTATACCATCACAGCTCACAGCAACCTCCGACTCCTGGGCTTAAGCGAGTCTCCTGTCTCCACCTCCCAAGTAGCTAGAACTACAGGTACCTACCACAACAACTGGCTATTTTTTGGTTGCAGCCGTCATTGTTGTTTGGAGGGCCCAGGCTGGATTCGAACCCACCAGCTCAGGTATATGTGGCTGGTGCCGTACCCGCTTGAGCTACAGGTACCGAGCCAAACTAGCTTTTTTTAATGCCTTCTTCTTGCCCACAAAAATTCTCTGCTCTGGCCAAACTTGCTAATGACCAATCTCCCACACTGCCCTTTACTCACATTATTCACCAGCATCTGTGTAGCCTACCCATGGAGGTTGCTATGAGCTATGACACCTCAGCACTCTACCCAGGACAACAGCTTGAGACATTGTTTCAAAAAAAAAAAAATTTTTTAAGGGACATCACATACTGCAGAATCCAACAACCTCAGCAGCATTACCTGCACTATGATGTAGAGAGCTACCAGCAGGAGCAGCTTAATTTACAAATGAGAGCAGTAAAAAAGGAAGCCGTCTGAGGTGGATAGTTGGCGGATCTGGGAATAGTACCAGACCTAAGGACGATAACTGCCTCTGAAAGGCTTAAAACTAGCAATTTAAATTAAACCTGATTCCGAGCCAGGCTGTCTGCCTTCACACACAGTAAAAATCAAAGGAGTTCAGCAAGTCACACTGTCACTGCCACTTATGAAAATTACCTTAGTAAAGAGACATACCTACCAGAGTCTTCTAGTGAAAGACTGAAACCATTTAGCAGTATTTTTTAGCTTGACAGTCTGCCTATTTTCTTTTTAACATGGAAACACATGCTACTATACTCAACAAAACCAAATATAACAGAATTCTAGTGTTGTCTATAAAAAGAGCCATGTCTGACTTTCCTCCAAAAGTAATTAAGCTGTCTCTAATTTTTCCTATAATAGTAACCAGCATTCAAGATTTATATTCCCTATATTCCAAACTTCAAGCCAAAATGAAAATATTACACTCAGTTCCATCTCTCTACTAAAACGATGATTTATTATGATTTCCTCTTTAGTTCTTAGAATCACTCAATAATAATAGTTTTCAAAACGTGATCCAAAAAGCCCAATTAATAATATGGTTTGGGGGCAGAAATGGGGACAGGGAAGAGGTGAACCACCTCTCCCACAGCTGCTTTTATCTGCTTCATATGCCATATGTTTGAAGAAAAGAGTCTAATAGGATAAGAAGAATGGAGGGAGGATGGGAGGGAGGGGGGAAGAGAGGGAGAGGAGGAAAGAAGGAGAGAAGGAGGGAGGCAGGGAGGGAGGAAAGGAGGGGTGGAGGCAGGGAGGGAGAGAGGGAACTTAAACATCACTGAGGTAACAGAACTACACTACCATATATCAATATAATTAGCAAGGCACTACTTTGTTACATAGAAGTTATAACTAGCAAAATTAAATGATCAGGTTTAATAGGAAATAAGGACAGAATGGTAAACAAATGTAATTCAATGAAATCCTAATTTCAGCCAATGATTTCAATCATTCATATTCAACTTTTTTTTTTAATGGGATGGAACGGAATGGACTGACACAACTGATAGCTGCAGCTAGCCATTCAACTGGTTTTGAATCAGCAAATCATTAATAAAAAAGAGTTGTGGCTTGGTGCCTGTAGCTCAGTGGTTAGGGTGCCAGCCACATACACTGGAGCTGGAGGGTTCGAATCCAGCTGCCAAACAACAATGACAATTACAACAAAAAACTAGCCAGGCGTTGTGGTGGGCACCTGTAATCACAGCTACTTGGGAGGCTGAGGCAAGAGAATCACGTAAGCCCCAGAGTTTGAGGTTGCTATGAGCTGTGAAGCTGCAGCACTCTACCCAGGGCAACACAGTGAACTCAAAAAGAGTTGAACTTCCAGTGAAACATATAAGCAGTAATAGGGAAGGCTAAGTAAAGACAGATCTGATGACTGAATCTAGATAGCTCCTATGCCTTTAATGGTTTAGTACCAGCCCATAAAGCTAGCACTAAATAAACAGCAAACCAAATCCTGCCAGATAAAGGATATAAAGCTATGTAGAGAATTTATCCCCCCACAACAGTAGACTGCTATGTAGGTCACAATCTCCAAGGGACAATATTATTGGGCCAACCACTAAGCCATTTAATTCCTATTAGAAGATTCTGACTCAGAAACTGGGTCTTTCTGTTTCAAGTGTAACAGAAAGAGCAGAGTAACTAGTGTGATGTGAGACCTGGTGAGACTCACCTGTGCAGAACTCCTTGCTCACATTGTGGGGCACTGTGATCCGTCGATAGACAATGGGCTCTGACTCCAGAATATTCTCATCATGGCGGTATCGAGTAGGCCTTTCATTTGGGATGCCTCGGGAACGGGTACCACTTCTCCTCTCATAGGTATCAATCTCTTCAAATACAGCTGCCTTGTCAAAAAGGGCCAGGTTCCCTTCAAAATCAAAATCTGTGTCTGGGATCTCCTCAATATCATCCCCGAAGCACTCATCATCTTTATTCTTCATTTGACCATTCTTTAAACCGCTTTTCTTTGGAGTTGCCTGATTTGGGTGCCTGCTACTAGATGACCCTAGGAAAAAAAGAGGGACTAAAGTCAGTGTGCCTATAGAAAATGCTTAGTGGAAGAGGAAAAGACAGTACATTCATTGCTTACAGAGAGTGTTACAGGAACCAAAGTAAAAATTGTAGAGGTTAGCTACTTCTAAATTATATTAAATAGCACAAACCCCACATCTCATGTGCACAATATATTTCAAATATTAGTCAAACAACTAGTTAATGAATATAAAATAAGCAGCACTTCTAGAAATTTTTTTTTTTTTTTTTTGAGACATAGTTTCAAGCTGTCGCCCTGGGTAGAGTGTCGTGGTGTTATAGCTCACAGCAACCTCAAACTCCTAGGCTTTTTTTTTTTTTTTTTTGCAGTTTTTGGCTGGGGCTGAACCCACCACCTCCAGCACATGGGGCCGGTGCCCTACTCCTTGAGCCATAGGCGCCACCCCAAACTCCTGGGCTTAAGCAATTCTCTTGCCTTAGCCTCCCAAGTAGCTGGAACTACAGGCGCCCACCACAACGCCCAGCTGTTTTTTGGTTGTAGTCGTCATTGTTGTTTGGCAGGCCTGGGCTGGATTGAAACCCGCCAGCTCCTGTGTACAAGGCTGGCGCCCTAGCCATGAGCTACAGGCACCAATCCCAATCCTAGAAATCTTAACTACTTATTCTCTTTATAAGGAAACTGGTAATAACTGAAGCTTTTTTTTTTTCTTTGACAGAGTTTTATTTTGTTGCCCTCGGTAGAGTGCTGTGGCATCATAGCTCACCACAAACTCAAATTCTTGGTCTCAAGTGATCCTCTTGCCTCAGCCTCCTGAGTAGCTGGTACTATAGGTGCCTGCCACAAGACCTGGCTAGTTTTAGAGACAGGGTCTTGCTCTAGTTCAGGCTGGTCTCAAACACATGAGCTCAGGAGATCCACCCACCTTGGCATCCCAGGGTGCTAGGACACACCCAGCTAACTGAAGCTTTTCTGGCAACTTAATATCAAGAAAATAAGTGGAAGGGCACTCTGACTCAATAGGGTGATTTGAATTTAAAGTCCAGATATTTAAGAAAAAATACCATTGACTGGCTCGGCACCTGTGGCTCAAGTGGCTAAGGCGCCAACCACATACACCTAAAGTGGCAGGTTCAAATCCAGCCCCGCCCACCAAATAACAATGATGGCTGCAACCAAAAAATAGCCGGATCTTGTGGCGGGTGCCTGTGGTCCCAGCTACTTGGGAGGCTGAGGCAGGAGACTAGCTTGAGCCCAGGAGTTGGAGGTTGCTGTGAGCTGTGATGTCATAGCACTCTACCCAGGGGGACAGCTTGAGGCTCTGTCTCAAAAAAAAAAAAATACCATTGACTAAAAGAAGGCCAAGTCCTCACAACCTGAAGCCTATATGAAGATACTATTCACTTGGCTCTTAATTCTATGCTTACCTAGCAAACACCTTTTGATTTTTTATTTGAGCTCAGGGAAGACTCTAGTAGGAGAGAATCCTTAGTTTATATAAAAGATCCTATATTTTGGCTTGGCGCCTGTGGCTCAAGTGGCTAAGACGCCAGCCACATATACCTAAGATGGCAGGTTTGAATCCAGCCTGGGCTCGCTAAACAATAATGAAGGCTGCAACCAAAAAAAAAAAAAAAAATAGCCAGGCATTGTGGTGGGCGCCTGTGGTCCCAGCTACTTGGGAGGCGGAGGCAGGAGACTCGCTTGAGCCCAGGAGTTGGAGGTTGCTGTGAGCTGCTATGCCATAGCACTCTACCTAGGGTGACAGCTTGAGGCTCTGTCTCAAAAAAAAAAAAAGATCCCATATCTTGAGCCAGTATATAGCTACCACTGGTATTCTGACTTACAAACATGTCTTTAGACCTTCTGGTTAATGTGATCTCTTTTTCTCAGAATTTTGTCTCTTCAAGTAAGCAGTTTCTGAATCAGGAAATAACAACAAACTCCATACTGGGCTGATCCTATATAGTCCACACCAAGATCCACATCAACACCAGAGTAGCCAGTCACCCTCTGTCTGAGACCCTATTTGGCTATCACACATCAGTCAACAACTACTCTAGCAGCCAACGGAGAAGGCCCCACAGAATTCTCCATACCATCCATTTCCAGAGAATCTTGAATTAAATGTATATGCTGATTCCCATCTGACTATCCTGAAAGAGTGGAAAAGGTCAACAGTATGCCTAACTGAACCTCTACCGAGGTCTAAATAAATGTAATGTACTTCCTTTTGAAAGACTGAGTCCTTCACCTACTGAAAACACTCAAGTAGCAGTTAGAACAATCACAAGCAAACCCCTTCACACATGCCATGAACAATCACAAGCAAACCCCCCCGCCACATGCCATGCCAACTATATTGCTCTAACTCTATTCATAGCAAGCTCCTTACAACTGAAAGGACCAAGAATCAGAAGACCTAGAATTCAGTTGCAGTTCTATCATTAAAATGTTATATAATCTCATATCTGTCATCTAACTTTTCAAGGTCCCCAATTTCCATGCATGTCAAATGTTTATACATACTGATTTCTAGCACATAAAGCACATAGCAGGCAGCCAATAAATATCTGTTTAACAAATTAATCAATATCAGCAAGATTGAATATTAAATTATTCTCAAAGATGTGTACTATGGACATATAATTTACACCCAAGCCTTCCTGCACTGGTACAGGAAAAGGCTGTGATGGTACTAAAGATACAATTTAGGACTCCGAAAACAAACCAAAGACGACTAAAATTATGAAGGTAAGGACGAATGGTTGAGACATCATAAACAACTCAGATTGTGAACCAATAAGAAGCTAGTCAAAGTTTGGATTAAGTTCTAGTTCTGATAATTTGATAAAATATTCAGTGAAAAGGCTCAGCGCCTGTGGCTCAAGCGGCTAAGGTGCCAGCCACATACACCTAAGGTGGCGGGTTCGAATCCCCAGCCCGGACCCGCCAAAACAACAATGACGGCTGCAACCAAAAAATA